ACCTGGGTGAGCTCAGGTGTAGAACAAAGGGGCCCCTTCCTACTAGGCCCAACCTGGCAATTCACATCTTTTCCTTCTCCGTCTTCCCAGCATCGAGGCTCATGGTGTGTAGGACTGCTCTCAAAACGGGGGCAGGGCTGTCATTTCCATCCAGCCTCTCTGCAAGGCGATACCGAGGACGACGGCTGAGCCAAGCAGACTCCCTTTCCTTCAGGGACTTAGCAGCTTGTGGGGAGGCGGGCACAGGTGTATGACAGGAACCAGAACGAGCCATTGCTGCTGAGCTGGGCTTGGGGGCAGTCGTCTGGACAGCTTCCTAGGAATTATCTTGAAATCACCCCGCACTTCCACAGACCTGAGAGTTTCATGGGAGGCAGGTATCGAGTTTCATTACCTGAACTACCTCTGCCATTTTGTCCCGCGTGACTCTTGGTGGCAAACCTAAGTTCATGTCCACTCTGTTGATCTGCTAAGCCCTGAGGGGTCTGCTCAGTGGCTGGGATGGGACCAGCTTCTGTGGAGGAAATGCTGGTTTTCCCGAAGCAGACTGCCTGTGCTCTAGAACCTGCTAAGGGAGAAGCAACAGTCACTCCTGGGGAGTGGGCGAGTGGCGTCCGTGGTTGTCCCCCTGGGGAGCGTCAGTGACAGTTTGGGACCTCGTTGGCAGCACATGGCACGCTTGGGCTCTCAGGGCTTCTCTGTTTCAGAATGATTTGATACATCCCTCAGGAAGGCCGTCCCTGCAGAATGCGGAACAGGTCTGGCCGCCCGAGCCTGGGCCGTCAGCTGCCAGGGCAGCCCCTCCTTGGTGGGGAGCCTGGTGGACCCTGCCTCGTTTTTTCCTTTTTAGAGGTTTTTACCTTAGAGCATGAACTCACTGGGGAGAGATAGACAGGGAACGAGACAGAGGGAAAGTGAGAAATCACCTGCTCCCCTCCGGGGAAACAGCCATGCCACAATCCCTTCTCCATTCCCCTCTCCGGATCTTGAGCATGCTCGCACACGCGCCTAGCATGAGTTTCAAGCTGCCAGTTGGCCCTGGGGGAGTCCAGCGACGTAACAGCTACGCCGTCTGCTGGCCCGAGCTCTGCCTCTTGCTCTGAGCTGGGCAGGCGGGTACTGCTTGCTTTCCAGCTGCTTCCTTGGGCACCTGTCACCACCGACTCAAGGTGCTGAGTGTCCCCTGTCTGTCCACGGGTGCTCTTGCTCCTCTGCCCCCTTTGGGGATTCGCCAATGGGAACCATGGCCAAGGGACAGAAGAGTGTGAGGAGGGTGAGGTGGAGGGTCCCCCATGAGGTGCCCATGGATCAGGGGAGTCACAGTTCCTGCGGGCTCCAGGCTCTGGGCTGCAGCCCCTGCCCCTTGTCCTGTCCTACCGTGGTGACTGCTCCCACTGCAGCTGGCTCTGGGGGGCTTCACCACCTCCTGTTGGTGTCCCTACACCCTGTTCCAGATCTCCCAATTTGACGTGACATCAGCTTCCTGCCAGGACCCTGGCTAGTACACATGGCCACCTTCTTGTGCACATTTGACATTTTTAAGTGATTGAAAGGCAGATCCTTTGGCAGATGCACTCAAGGGCAGGGGAGCGGGTGCTCCTCCTGCCTTGCCCCTGCTGACAGCACCTGCAGCCCAGACCCTCCGAAGGGACTCCCTGAGCATCCTCCTGGCTGTTGGCTGTGGTTCTGACCCTGACACAGCAGATCTGAGTGACCGATAGCTTATCTGCTTCAGGCCCTATCCACGTGGCAGGGGGCCTTCTCTCGGGTGGGCTTGCCACCGTCATCTGTCTCCGGTAGAGGTGCCCAATGCCTGCCTGGGTGCTCGCCCTCGTGGCCTCCCGCCCCTCATTGCTATCAGTGCTCAATGGTCTGTCCAGATCTGCCGGCCAGGCTGCTGCATTGCCCTCGAGGTTCAGACGCAACCCTTCACTCCTGACCTTCCTGGACCCCTGGGCAGCCAATAGCCTGGTCTGCCCGACCCTGGCTCCCCGGCCTCTGCGATCAGGCTGAGCACAAGCAGTGTCCTGGAACGCCGCCTCCCCCACAGCTGGCTCCAGCACCTCCCTCACAGGCTCTGCAAGGCGTCCTTGAGCTGCAGAGAGCCCCCATGCTCGCATTGCCTAACAGCAGCGCGTCCCAGAACTCCGAGCTGCTCTAACCCGCACCTGGGGCAGCTGTGAGGTAGAGCACGCCGGCAGCCGAGGGGTCGCCGCTTACACCACAGCTTCTCCGTGGCACGTAAAAGGGTGCACGCCTTGGCATCCGTGCACCCTGTGTGCTGTCCCCAGGCATCCCGCAGACACCCTCTGGTGGGGAGTCGTCTCCCAGACTCACACGGGTCGGTTCTACTTTGACTCTCTGTTATTCTCTATCCCTTTTCCATGTCCCTAACGGCTTGTCATCCGTTACCTGTGAATTCCCTGACAGGTGGCCCTTGTCACAGCTGTGGTGAGTCGAGTTCATGGATCTTGCAGCATGGCAAATTATTTTTGTTACTCTGCTCACTTTGGGTTTTGAGACTCTTCAGGCTACTTTTTAGAAAGCCCGGCTGCTGCTCGGATATTTCTGCTCAACAACACTTAACAGAAGTCACTTAACATGGGGCTTTGTGAAAACAAGGAAATTCTGTGAATAAAACTTAAAAAATTTTTAAACTCTATAATTTATTCAATAACCACAAACACACACACACACCCTGTGCACAGATGTGCACAAGCACACACACACCCTATGCACACACAGATGCACTTGGAGAGAGACAGAGACAGAGACAGAGAGTCTTAGCAGACAGCTCTGGGTCACAGGGGGATGATGGCAGGGTATTCTTGTTGAAGGCAAATGTGTCCTCACCACAGCTTGGAGTTAGCCCCCAGGAACAAGGGCCCGGGGACAGGTCTGCCCGGGTGCCGGAGTCTGTCCTCGGGGCCTCCTGCCTCGTCCGCTCTCCTGACTCCCTTCCTTGTGCTCCCAAAGGCTGGCAGGCCAGACCACCACCCCAGCCTCCTGGGTCCATCCCACCCCAGCTGGCAACCGGAGGTACGGGGGCAGCGAGTGGCTCAAGATCCAGTTTGTCCCCTGCCAGGGTGTGCGCTTCCATCCCACCCTCATTGCCTTTGGCCTCCCTTCCCACGTGTGACAGGTCCCATTCCCTTCACCAAGGCGGCGACAGGAGTCTCCCAGTCTCCCAGTCCCAGCTGGACTGAACCTTTAGCTCCAGAGTTGGACATGGCAGTCATTGGCACGAAGGCCGTTTTGACGATGGGTGAAGAACAGGCACTTGGTGGTAGGACCAGGGAAGCCCCAGCTGGGGCAGGAGCCTCTTCGGTGTCCATGCCTTTGCCTCTGACAGCCCAATCCCTTGTCCTGTCCAGCCACCCTCCAGGGTGGGGTCTCATAAGGGACGGCCTCAGCAGGGTGGGGCCTTGTAGGGTGGAGCTGGTGGCTGCGGGAAGACCTGAATTTCCTGCTGGACCATAGGACAGAGAGGAAGGGAAGCTGGCCCCAGGACATTGGAACAGCCACTAGAATTACCCCCAGGCGCTTTGCTCATCAGAGCAGAGAGACCAACTAGGGAGTATTTTGGCCTAGATTGTTTTTCTAAGTTTTTTTTTTTTTTTTTGGAGAGGCTTTTTGCTATAGGGCATGTGCGCTCCCCAGACAGACAGAGAGAGACAGAGAGATACAAAGTGAGAAATCACCCCCCAGAGGGGATGGTCACGCCGCAATCCCTTCTCCTCCACTCTCCTCTCAGGATCTTGGGCACGCATGCACACGCGTCTGGCGTGAGTTTAAGCCACTGGGTCTGGACTCGAACCGCGGTCGACTACATGGGAGCCCAACGACATAGCCATTACGCTAACTGCTGGTCCCTGTTTTTCTAAGTTTTGATTAAACGAAAAGTTTAGCTAATGAAACAAAATTAAAACAAAAGCAAAGCAATTGCTAGAATAGATTTTTCATGTATTTAAAAATAAATGATCAGGGGAACCAGCAGGTGGTGTGGTGGTTAAGAGTACTGGAATCCCAAATGGCCTACTGTAGTTCGAGTCCTGGACCTGGCAGCTTGCTTTCTCTCTCTCTCTCTCTCTCTCTCTCCCTCTCTCTCTCTCTCACACACTCTCTCTCTCTCTCTCTCTCTCTCTCTCTCACACACACACACACACACACACACACACACACACACACATTCCCTCTCTGGTCAAATTAAAATAAATAAATGAAGTTAAATAAAATAATTCTTTATAATTTTTTTTAAATAAGTACATAAATAATCAGGAACAGCCTCATAGCCTAGTGGTTAAGGGAGCTGGCTCCCATGCAGCTGACATGCTGTTAAAATTCCAGCTCTGGTGACTTGACAGACACACCAGGCATGTGTGCACGCATGCCTCAAATACCCCACAGGCTAGAAATGGAGAAGGGATCGTGGTGTGGCCATGCCCCCCTGGGGGCTGTCTTCTCTCTGTCTTTCCATCTGTCTCTGGTGAGCTCAGACACCCTCTGGCAATTAAAAAAAGAACATAAATAAATCATCTTTATGGGAAAGAAAATAAAAATAATTTTCCCCACCAAACACACATCCAAAGTCTACAAAAACATATTCTAAACAATTGAAAATAAGTCTCTCAGGATTCTGGGATCACAAGGTGATTTCTTCATGGAAAAGATAAATCTATGCTTTTAATTTTGCTGTAATGAAAATGTATCATTCATATATACAAAATACTTTTAAATATAAAAGTTTTTTTAAAAAACTGAAAGAAGAAAGGGCTTCAGAACCATGCTATTTGTGCCTTTCGCAGATGGCTTTTGGGAGCTGGGTTACAGGAAGTGGGGGTGTGGGCGTGGGGACAGACACCCTGTGTAGGAGCCCAGGGCTTTTTCTGGATCGTGGTCACTCCCTCGGCGTGCTGGTCTCTCCACTGCAGGTGGCCTCTGAGGTTGGGTGATGTTCCAGCCGGTTACAATGTGCCTCTGTTTGGGGGTTCTGTCCTCAGGCGTCCGAAGGCGTCCCCATGAGGTTCTTCACCAAGTTGGACCAGCTCATTGAGTTTTACAAGAAGGAAAACATGGGCCTGGTGACCCATCTGCAGTACCCAGTGCCACTGGAGGAGGAGGACACGGGCGACGACCCCGAGGAGGACACAGGTAGGAAGGGGAGGACCGGATGGCGGGAGGCAGGGGGCTGGAGGCAGCCTTCTGGGCCCCGCCCTTCAGGTTCACAGTGCTTATAGGTTAGGAGGGTCTGATTCTCAGGGGAATTAAGGGCAAGTGAGGACCATAGGCCCTGGGCCAGACGAACCTGGGTTAGAACTCCTGCTCCCCAGGTTACTGGCTGTGCGACCTTGGGCAAGTCACTTAACCTCTCTGAATCACAGTAGAAATAGAGTCTACCTTTCAGGGCGTTGCAAGGACCCAGTGTGCGTGGCTGCCAGAGCCAGGCACATGATAGGGCTCAGTAAATGCAGGTACGGTCATTGTCATTCCTATAATGCGGTGGATCTCACTGTAAGCAGGCCGCTGTACCCAGAACTGGAAGGGTGAGAAAGGTGTTTCTTACAGCTCCCAAAACATGCTGAGGAGAATGCAGCCCCTACAAAGCCTGTGCGACTCAGGCCTGCCCTTAGTTGGGACAAGGACACCAGAGCAAGAGTCAGGTGGACAGGGTCGTGCAGAGGGCCCCTGAGTGGAGCCCTGCTCTGCCCCTCAGAGGTTCATTTCCTGGAAGAAAACCCACTTGAGCCTCTCAGCTAGCTGGCAGGGCCCTTCCTGCATCCCACACCTGGAGACAGAGGGACCCATGGGCCCTCCCTGGGAGAGGAGAGGTCAGACCAGAGACTGCAGCCTGCCTGCTGTCCCTGCTGGGGACACATGTTGGGTGCTCTTTTATCCACGCTCACAGACTGGCTGGTGGGCCGGCGGGCTGGTGGGCAGAGGGCCTCAGTCTTGGCAGCCGGGAAGCAGTTCTGCAGAAGTGCCCTCCAGAGGTGACGCCCTCACTCCCCTCGGCCTTCCACCTCGGCCTGGGCCTGTTGTGCACCTGGGGATGGCTGCTGGAGGAAGACACCGGCACTTTCTGGACAGGCTGGAAAGAACCCCGGGCTCTCACTGCTGCCTCCACTTCCCCAAATGAGGACCCCCACTTGCCACCTTGAACCAGAGCAGTGGGACCTCGGCCTGGCCCAGCTCAGGCCTTCCAGGAGTTGCCAATCCCCAGGGGGCTCAAAACTGACTCAGACCCGCCCTCAGAGCCCCACGTGTGGACAGGACTGGAACATGCGTCCTTTAAAGAGCATCGTTCAATACTTCAGGTTTCTCAGGGAAGCTCCCCCATCTTTCTTCTATGAAGGAAGGGCAGTGTGGAGAGAAGGCTCGGAAAGAGGGGTCAGGTGACAGGGAGGAGCATATGGCTGGGCCTGCCTGCCCCGCCTGTCCCTCTCCTGTGGCCCTGGCCCCATTCTGGGAGCTGAGCTGCTCCCTGACCAGGGCTCAGCCTCAAATGAAGAACCATCTCAGTCCCTAAAAGCCAGGTCGTCCTGCTGGCCCTCCCGAGGTTGCAGCTTAGTCTGTCCAAGGTCAGCACCCTGCAGGCCACCTAGACCTCCGCCTGGCAGGGCCTCAACCCCAGCAGGTGTCTGCTCAGTGCCGCAGTGGGACACGTGCAGGCCGGCTCCAAGGGTCTCTAAGATAGTCCCTGCTATAGGGGGCTTTTGACTAGAGGGGAGTCAGGAGAAGTGAGGAGGGGAGGAGGGGCCCAGACCTCACAGGGCAGTATGGGCCAGGGCGGGTTGTGTGCAGCCTGGGCCACGGCACTTCTGTGCTCTCTTGGGCAGAGAGCATCACGTCTCCACCCGAGCTGCCACCAAGGAACATCCCGCAATCTTCTGGGCCCTGCGAGGCCAAGGAGGCTCCTCTTTGTGTCGAGAATTCCCGAGTGACCGAGGTTAGCCGGCCCAGCCT